GACAGACAGAGGTACTTTTGAATTTATAATATTAGATTGGATTCGGATTACTTATAAGTTTGATATCTTCAGTCCATCTTGAATGGTGATTTATGATAATTCCTTTTGCTCAGCAGTGTCAAACCTTCAGGATTTTGCTTAGTTGCTTAGTTGCGTAGTAGACACTTATGGACCGATGATAATGACGATAATGGGCACCTAACTTAACCGTATTGAGATATCGAAACAACTTATTTTTAACAGAGGAAACTACCAAGTAAGTACATTGACAAAAGAAAATAGAATATTCCGTTCTCTTCACACACTTCTTAAAGTCACGAAATAATTCTGAATAGACAGTCTGGCTTAGTCTATTGTAGGTATTTGTATAAGACACGACATTCTCACGTTTTGTACATACTTCTGTGGACACGTGAAACTCACGTGTAGCTAACTTTATACAATCCGCGTAGGATGCAGATTAATAATCTAATTTAAGATTCTATATAATAAAAGTGTGGCAGAGCCATGCTTCAGCACGAATTGGTCGGCTCGACCGGAGTTATACTACGGTCTCACCGAAAACCGGCGTGAAACAACTACAGCGTTGTGATTCGTGAAGGCGTGGCGTGGGTGAAGTTACCGGAGGCCCAATCCTTTCCTTCCCTTTTATAATTTATTTATTTAATTTATTTAAACTTTATGCAACAAGGCGGACTTAATGCCGTCGAAGTTAAATTTATGTATTTAACTTCCTTCCAATCCAATTATTTTTATCTAAATATTGTCATGTCATACGACCAAATAAAAAATACATGTCTTATGTTTTTTTTTCATTATCTGACTCATTTTATTTTTTAATTTTAATTATTTTTATTCATACTTTGAATTAAACACTACTTTGAATCCACTAATCATTATTTAACAATAAAACCAATTAACATCACTAATTCGTTAAAAATGAACTGTCTACTGCTTAAATTAAGGTATAAAATTACGCGACAGACACGCAGCCTAATTACTGGCTGAAAAAAAAACAACGAAAGGAAATGATTTTGTTTCTTTGACAGCTGGTTCTGTTTATCAGTAAATGTTATATTAGTAATTCAGGCGTTCAGTGGAGTTAGGTAAATTATGAGTTTGTATCAAGGTATCTTATAGGATGTTTCAATTTGTTATAAATTCGGTTCTTTTTTTTTGTCATAGCTCGGCAAACGTGCAGACGGATTACCTGGTAGTAAGCAATCAGCGCCGCCCATGGAAACCCTTAATACCAAAGGAGTTACTACTTTTAGGTATTAGGAATTTGGAGAGAAATAATATGACCAATAATAAAGAATGACTATCTATACCTTTGACTGCACGGTTGGTGCGGTATGGTGCGGTAGCTGGGCAACTGGCTGCCGTGCAACGTGTCGCGGGTTCAATTCCCGCACGGAACAACTCTTGTGTGATCCACAAATTGTTGTTCTGGGTCAGGGTGTCATGTTTATGTGAAATTGTATGTTTGTAACCGTACCCACGACACAGGAGAAAATCCTAATGTGGGACAACGTTGTTTTTTTTATAAATAATAATATGTAATTAGTTAATAAATAATAATAATATAAGCAACCTATTCGCTCTGGATTTGAAGACGCCCTTGTTATGGATGTAGAATTATACATTATTTTAAAACACACTGTAGGTACTATCAGCAAAAACGTACCTTGTTATTTTTAAGCTAGAACTTTATCCGTTACTCAAACTTTATCCGTTACTCAAACTACTTAACAGGTTTTTCATTTGAACTCGCGATTAAACATTACTCTTTAGTTCTTGAAGAAGTCAGGCACTAGATGTCTGGCATTTATGCTGAACTGGACCTTTTTTGGTACAGCTGTCGGGCACAACACTATTATTAGTGTATTTAACTTTAAAATTTTTGTATATCCTTCCTACCTACATCTATTTTGTGTTTATTTTTTTATTCACAGTTATTTTTGTTTGCATTGTATAGTTTGTGCCTGGTGTTGTACCGAAGAAATGTTTTTTCTTTCTTTCTTTCAAATAAAGTGTGACTTTTTTATGACGTAGGTCGGCAAACGATCAGACGGATTACCTGATGGTAAGCGAACATCGTCACCCATAGACACTAGTATTACTAAAGGAGTTACTACAAGTGCGTTGCCGGGCTCTTGTGGGCTATTAGGGATTTAAGGATGGAGGTTGAGGAGAGGGAAGAATAAGGCCTCCGGTAACCTCACACACAATCACATTATTTCTAACTCTAAAACAGCTAAACATACTGGAGAATTGGTAGAAATGTAATTTAGAATCAGAAAAAGAATATAGGATATGCCATAACAAACCATAGTTTGCACTATCAAAGAATCGAAAGTTGTCCAGCCGTGGTTGCGGGGCAAGCGCAATAAGTCATGCTAGCTCAGCCTATACAGGAGAAGGAACGGGGACGTTTTTAGTCAGTAAGAGTCTGACACTCCCTCCCGCCTCACCCTGGACGGGAGAAGTCATTTAATGATTTTTTCCTCACAAAATACCACATCCTGTAATAATACTTTACATGGAATTGAACTTATAACCTCATCTCAGTTCAACAAACAGTGTCGTTATACTTTCGACAAAATCAATGCGGATGAACTTTCAGGGCTAGGCAAGTTGCCAAAGTGTAAAGACAGTCGCATTTAAACATATATGTCTAAAGTCTTCAGCCCATTTACAACCTTATTGCAATAGGAGAAAGTTAATAATCTGTTAAATCATTTTGATATACATAAAGGGGAATCTTGATGTCTTTATTAGTTTTCGAAGTTCAATGTTTTTTCGACAAAAAGTAATTAGTTTGGACCTCCAGTCTTATTGACCAATAGGAAACTAGCCAGTGTCATTCCATTGCCGTTTAATTTTTAACTGATTTGACTTGAGTCTGCTTACGATCAGGTGGGATCGCAGTCAAGCACTAGTTTATTGCAAGTAAAAAAAAAGTCTTAATTTAAATGAACCGGAATGTTTTCTGCTTTAACTTGTAAACTACCTAAATAAAGAAAAAAATCAATCCCGAGTTACACAGAATATGTACATTTATATTAAAATTTGATTTACTAACAAAATATTATTATTTACATTATATAATTAAATAGTTTATAAATCAAAAAAGACGAAACGTTCAAATTCGTGCGTCTCCAAATTAGTTTTTGTTTTTTTTCCTTTTATTTTTTCCTGTATACCTTCATTCTTGCTTTCCATATTAATATTATATATAATAGTAGTATTATTATTTTGATGTTATTGTTAAGTTTATGTGTATTCTACGCAGAAATAAATGTTTTTTTTTGTTGTAAAAGATGCAAAGATATTAATTTTGAGAGCAAAATTAAAGTCTTTTCCGTGCCGCTTGCTCGTTATTTATTTTAAGTAACCAATTGATGTTTGCTTTTGTCTGAGGAATCATCTTAAATACTCATACGCATTTTTCGTGCATAATATTTTTGGAGGAAAATTTCAGAGCTTTGACTGACAATTCCCTCTTCGACCACGACATATAAGTGAAATAAGAAATGCATTTATTTATTTCTCTTACATATGTAATTTATATATAAGTTATGTGTAGTAAGTATATTAATTTTATTGTTCTATACAATTATTATTTTGCATATTTATATCATAACGAAATGCCTTTAATAAAAATGTCATTGTTTATTATGTTTAATGGAAATTTTCTTGTCAGGTAATGCATTATTAAGCTAATTCATTTTCTAACAATAACGTACTTAGGTACTTTATTTACACCCCAAAGTAAGGACCGGCCCGGAGGTAAAGTCTTCTCAGGGGTTCGAAACCTGGCAATTACCAATGTGACTTTTTCAAGTTGTATGTACTTTCTAAGATTATTAAGACACATACGGTAAAGGAAAACATTGTGAGGATACCTGGACTCATATTTCTTACTAAAGTTTGGAATCGCCAATCCGCCTTGGGTAAGGGCAAGGGCAAGGGCGTGGTGATTGATTCTCAAACCTTCTCCGTGTGAGAAGAGACCTTTGCTCAGCAATCGACACTTTTAGGCTTATGATGGGACCGAGGAAACCGTCACTTATCAACAAGGGGCGAAACATTGACAGAATTTACCAAAAAAAACAAAGGGTATTGTTTCTGACCTTTTCTTAGTTATCACTACATAGTATAAAACAACGTGGCGTCCTTATATTCCTATTTTCCTATACGTACGTTTAAAAGTTAAAACAACGCAACGTATTATAATGTGTTTTTTTTAATAATTAGAGTAATTGAATAGAAAGGTAGGAACAGGAGAAATTTAGAATAAGCGCGGCGGGTTGCAAGTATACATTTTATATATAACTTTAAAATAGTGATAGGTACATTTCAATAGGCTTATTTACCTACTAAAATTGACGAAACGTCATGAAAAGTAAGCAGACATACTCAGTCAAACGTTATTTTTCACCCTGTAATAACAGATTTAAGTGTGACGATACTAAATAAAAAAAATAAACAAAATAATTAATTAATTAATCAATAAACATGTGCAAGCTCTTAAGTGACGTTTTTATAAAAGTAGATATGTAGAAACTTCCTGATAGGCATACATATACAAATAATTTCAAAACAAATCATTTTATAATAATTTAACAATATTCCTAAGAAATATTTAATTACCGAATATAAAAAAAAAATATAAACACGTCTCCATGACTACGAAATTTTACTTACTTACATAATGTTTACTTGGCAAATAACCGTAATTACAGTGTCGATGCAATCCACCAAACATTCAAAGTAACTCTATATATACCAAGAATGTATAAATCGATGGTGATAATAAAACAAAAGAAAACAATAAATACATACCGTGAGCCGTTACAATAATATTATAAAACAAATGTAAGAAAAAGCACAACAACAAAACGAGAAATACGGTCAACGAGACACTTGAATTTAAAAAAACTGACATTCTAACACAAACACGGATATAAACAATCTCAATAGAGAAAAATACTCACAATAATATATGATCCAAAAATATACACTATATTTGGCTTTAAGCCACTTCTGCACTAAAATTGACGCGTGCGATCTTGTTGGCGTCCGGCGTACGAATGCGTACGAATCACACGGTCGCTTCAAATCAACTAGTAGTGTGGCTTGCCCTAACGTCCTATAAGTACTACGAAGCTGTTTGATATGTAAACATCATGTTTTCAATGAATAAGTATACCACGTGATTGGTGGATTAAAGTTTTTTAAATTAAATTATGATTTTTTTATTGGTGTTTTCGGTAAATTGCGTTCCTCTATTGGCGTTTTTCGAAATGTCTTGTAAAAGTGTTCTAAAATTATTTTTCTGCTTAGATATATGTTTTTTCTATTCTAATTTTTAGCTAACAATTTATAGGAATCATGAATTAAATAGAAAAAAAATAATAAATAATATTTAAATAACATTAAAATTAAGACACAATGCTCATGGAAAAATGAAACATAAGTCATATAGTTACGTCCTTCTATGGGTTGTGGGTGCATATCTCAAGTTAACACTAAAATATTTCGTTTTCAAAAAAAAAACATTTATTTCAATTAGACCTATACAGGCACTTTTGAACGTCATTCGTTTTACTGTTTCGATAAAAAAAAAATATTATACGACACAGGATTTTCTCCTGTATCGCAGGTGCGTTTACAGAAAACATACAAAATCACATGCATATGACAATTAGACCTAGAACAACTATTTTTGGATCGCACAAAAAATTGTACCTACCGTGTAGGAATCGTAGCCGCGACACGTTGCGCGACAGCCAGTTGCCCAGCAACCGCGCCAACCATGCCGTAAAATTAACAGTTTCATTTTTTCACTGCTGAGCAAAGGCCTCTTCTCACACGGAGAAGGTTTGAGCATTATTCACCACGCTTGCTCAATGCGGGTTGACATAAGTTCAGGTTTCCTCACGATGTTTACCTTCACCAGATGACCATGATTATTTAGACACCATTGACATACGTCAGTATGTCATACATACCTACATGGAAAGTACATATAACTCGGAAAAAGTCACATTGGTACTTGCCAGGTTTCGAACCCACACCCTCACACATGAGAAGCGGGTTCTTTAACCTCCGGGCCACCACGAACAGACGAACAGTTTATCGTGAGCAAATCTACTGGGGTTTCAGTTGCAACCGCCTTAGCGTAAGCCGACGCAGAAGAAGAATTGATGTGGTTTTCAGTCAGGAAGAGATAGACACTCCCTACTGCCCCACCTAGGGTGGAAAAAGTCTTTTCGTGATTCCTCAAAAACATGTGTAAGGCCAGTTCTTTAACTATGACGATATAGGGCAGTAATGATACCCCTTCAATTCATATTCATCAAGAAACTAAAGGTAATTTTGGAAAACCGAAAAATGTAGTACTTTGCCCGAAGTTGAGATCATTTGCTTGGCAGTAGACCAAAGACCAGTGTGTCAAAAAACCAAAATCTTTAATGACTTTAAAGTCTGTGACTTTCCAGTCAAATTTAAAGTCTTTCTTACTTCCCAATATAAATTTGATTTGATCTAAGAAAAACTCTAAAATCTTCCACCCGCGGCATCCCTCGCATGATTATGTTCACGTTTATTATTACAAGCCTCCAACCGCGGCTTTGCTTGCATGTTATATTGATTAAAAGTAGCCCATGCATCATTCTAGGGTTCATAACATACGACATTTTAACCTAAAGAACGGCGGTCCAGCCGTTTTCGCCTGAAACAATAACAAACATCCATCCATGCATTCTCAAAAACTTTCACATGTATATTTTTAATAGACTTTCGCAGAATATAATTCTGTGTGTTATGGTTGTCCCAATTTTTACGCGAACCAACATAACTGTTTCTTATTGTTCAATTTCCGCCATTTACCTATTTAAGCCGGAAATTTGTATTAAAATTGCAATACTCATAATATGAAAGCAGCTGTGTTATATTCAGTTTTGTGTGAATTGACAAATCTTGAATGATTTGTATTGAAGACAATATAGAAAGAAAGAAAGAAAGAAAGAAAGAAAAACCATTTATTTCACACACAAATGACGCAAGAAACAAACACACAAAGAAATATCTATGTTATATATATATAATATATATGTTATAATGATTGTTTTATGATAGGACGGCAGACGGGCAAAATGATTACCTGATGGTAAGCTATCACCGTCGCAATTGACACCCAACATCAAAAATACCAGGGGTTTGCCTTCCTATTGGTATTAGAGGTTCTAACAACATTATATTTACGCGGGTATTAACGCGGAAAATTATAATTTGTATACCTTGGTAGGCTTGACGTTTCGACCCGGTTGCACAGGTCGTGGTCACAAGCAGAGTGATACTGACTGACTTAGAGGTTCTAGATATGATTTGGTCTCTGGTAACTTAACATGGCGAAAAACAACGTAAGTGCTTTTTCACGCCAGTTTTCTCCGTCGTGGTATCACCCTGATCGAGCTGGCTCATTCGTACTGAAGTATGACTCTCTAAACGTATTAAAAATAATGATTGAATAGTTTAGGTACTATTTTCTAGCGTGGAGGTAACAAGACAAAGACTGTCTGCGGCCAATCCTTACAGAGTAAGTATCATTGTTTAAGAAACATTGAACGTTTAATTTAAAATAATGTAGTTTAAATTCTATTATATAAAGGATACTGATTAAAATTCATTCAAAGAAAAAAATGGCCTTATTTCTTAATCCTTAATGTCTATTTTTAATGTTGGTAATATTATGTTACTGTTACTTATATTTGCTTATTAAAATGTAGTAAGTAAGCATAAAACAGACAAATTCTCTGTCCCTATGTATGCTTAAACCCTTAAAAGTACGCGACGGATTTTGATGTGTTATTTTAATAGATAGTGTGATTAATGAGGATGGTTTTATGTATCATTTTGCACATCCATTAAAACTTAAATTTAATATCAGTACTGCACCAGTGCGCAGCCAGAGCAAGTCGCTAGTTATCTCAATAAGAGTTATTTTTGTTCATTATAGAACCTTCTTCTGTTGAAAGCATAAAGACTAGAAGAAAACTAGTTTATGGATATCTGGCTTTGCCAATAAATGGTCATTTATTTCTTAACAACTCCATTACAAGACTGGTATTGCGCCAAAATAGTTATATTTGACCAAGCACCTACGTTAATCGAAGCTTAAGGGTCTAATTAAAAAGTATGTAAGTACAAGTATACATATAGGTATAGTCAATGATATTATAAGTAAAACGGGGTAGATAGGTTACCTAAACAAAATTAAATTTTCAAAAACGACACACCGATACACACATGAACAATTCGTATGTTTAGACGTCAAAGTGAGATGGCATGATTGAATAATCGCGTGTGAAAAAGGGACAAATATGAAAAAGTGTGGCTAGTTAGCCTTTTTTATGTATCACTTGTTGAGCGCTTGTAACCTATCTACATCTTTTTACTTATAATACATTGGGTATAGTAGCAACGCTCTGTAGTGTAAGTATCGTTTCAATATGTTATGAAGATAAAAGTAAAATATTATTACACCTACAATATCATCCACACAATTCGTTTTTCCGATCTATAAGTCGGTATTCTTACAACCACCTTGAAACCCAGTTATCTGATTTACGTTATATAAGCAATAAGTTTGTAAGAATTTCGGTAGTTGACGAGTGACGAGTTAGCAAGAGAGAGTTGTCAGACTCTTACTAACTATAAACCACCGTTTCTTCTCGGGCTCCAGGTCAGAGAGAAGCGGTACTTAACACTTAGAACGCCATGTCGGACAATGCTGTCCGACGCTAGCGGAGGATTAGCCTTCAACAGTGAAATGCTTAATGACGCTTGGACCTTGGACCCGCAACCCCAGCTATTAAAAGGCTGGAAACACATTTATAAACTTCTTTGGTGCAGATGTCCATGGGCAAACTTAATTGCTTATCATCAAGCTGCCAACACACTTATAAACTCCTTTGATGGCGCAGATATCCATGGCTAAAGCCAATTGCAAATCATCAAGTGATACGAAAGACCAGTCAACATTTTATCCTACAAGAAAATAAGAAAGAAAAAACTAAAGGTAGATATTTAAGTCTTTTTTTATGAAATAGGTCGCCAAACGAGCAGGCGGATTACCTGCTGGTTAGCTATAGACGCAGCCCTTAGATACTTGCAACACCAAAGGTATTACGAGTGCGTTACCAGCCTTTTAGGGATTAGGGTTTTGGAGATTTAGGAGAGGAATAAGGGGAGGGGAAAGCTTGAGCCACCAGTAACCTCGCCTATATGGCGAAAAACTATGCTATGGTTGTTTTACACTGGTTTTCTGGTAGGCCGTGGTATCTATCACTCCGGTCGAGCCGACACCTATTCGAGTCTTTCTTACAGTCAATTATTTCTTAGTAATCCTAATTTGATGATTAATTAATAAATAGGTTGCAACCGGAACTATTGGTCACGAATTCTGTGTAGGTATTGGGATTGCGTTTGAGAAAATTTTATTGTGGTTTACCCACATACATGTTAAGTATCGAGGCTTAATTGTTATAAATTTCCTGAAAACAATTGAGTTTCATTGTAAAAAGATTCAATTAATATCTAACGAGGAGTATTTTCTGATGCGTTGAGCTAAACCTGACTGGTTTATTTTTTTTTTCCTTTTTTAGTAAAATGTTGCCCCACTTTAAAATTTACTCCTGTGTCGTGCGTGCGTTTACAAACATACAAATCCGCATGCACAAACCAACCAGACACGAAACAACAATTTTGGATCACACAAAGTGTTATTCCGTGTCGGAATCGAACCCGCGACACGTTGCACAGCAACCAGTTGCCTAGCCACTACGCCAACCATGCAGTCAAAATTTCTATGGGCATCGAAACGAACGGTAATTATATAAATCATTAATTTGATGATTTTGATGAACAACGAATTTGAATAATTTATACTAATATTATAAAGAGGTAAAATTTGTAAGTTTGTATGTAGAGGGTAATCTTTGGAACCGCTTGTGGGATTGCCAAAATTCTTTCACTTATAGACAGCTACAATGTTCCAGAGTTCTATAAGCTAACTTAGTGCTTAAAATAAAACATCACGCTACGATCAAAA